CCTGTCTGCCTCTACAAAATAATCATGAGAAAAACTAAACAAACAAACAAACTGTTGCATATTCGGGGGTGTAATAACCACTGAACCCTCTCGGGGCCGCCAGCAGAGATCCAAACTAACAATCTTTCCTCTGCTGTGATCTGTACAGCATACTGTGAAACAAATTTGGATCCCAAGGCATGCGGCCTACATGCTATTTGTATTTGCTCAAAACTAACATTGTCAGGGTTGCCATGACAAAAAGTAAATCACAACTGAGGCAGTTTGAGAAGCATTAACATGGAGGACGAGACAAAAGAAAGGCAAGCGGATGAGTCAGTACAGGCAAAACTAAAAGATGAATCGAAAAACCAAAAAGGATTTTAACTTCTTATATTGCAAAAAGAAGGGCAATTTAAGTTTATATTATCTTATTTTAGGACATTAAGGTCTGATTTTCCTTCACGGAGGATAAATAATACTGTCAAGCACAATTTGAATTAGATTATTAAACTTATTTCAAGGTAACTCATCTTGATTTGTCACAGTTATACATTCAATCTCCCTTTTTTAGCTGATAAGAAAGAAGTGAAAAGTGGATTGAATGGTTGTCACACTAAAATCCAAAATAAGGATATTAAGAATTATGCCAATCTTAATAAAACTTTAAGACAAAAACTAAAACTTATGTTTGATGTAGCTGAACTTAATATTCTGGGGCAATATGAACAAAATGTGATGAGTTGTTTTTTCTCTAGATAATAAGCAGAACAATATTTTGCATTTTTGTAGGTTTTTTATTTTTTTGCGGTGCAATTTCTAGATATTTGTCACATGGCTGTCAGTTCATATAGACATCAGATAATCCAGCAATAAGTGTCATGACAAATCTGTGGAAACAAAGAGAAACAAGGACAGCCACAGCAGATATAAAGTTGCTGATGCACACAGAAGTTAACTGAAGGATGTGTTCAGTGTAAATCAGCCATCAAACTACATCATACCCTCGTGCAGGAGAAACTCTGGCCTGCAGATGAATCTGACTCAGCTGCTCTTAAACACTTACTGGTGTTCAGATTCTTAACCAGACTTGCTCAGACTGAAGTGACTCATTGTGACCGTTTTAAAATATTTAGATCTCAGTTCATGTGTGGAAATGACTCAGCTCTACTATTCTCACATACTGTACAGAAACATAAATGTTGAATGTCGTGCAGTTTATTTATTGCTTTATTGAACAGGGATGATACAGATTAAGATGGTTACTTAGGGACTTAGGGAGAAGAAGTGCAACAAATATCCTGTATGTACCTAATTTTAAGCCCCAAACCTGTGTTAGGCTTTTATATTCAGGTAAAAAAAGAAAACAAAACATATTTTTATATCTTTATGACTGATGTATTCCCATTGTGTCACCTGCTTTTCTTGCTATTGCTAAACGATGAACTAGTCCACATATTTCAATCCCATTAAACAAAGTCCATCCCCTTATAAGAATCAATTTAAGTTTTAAACCTAGTTACAATTATAATTTGAGAGCTACTGTGATCTATTTACTAAGATCTGGGTAAATGGGGAAATTTCAAGAAGATGGTGCCTTTAAAGGCCTCCTGACAATACCAAAGGAACGTACTAAATGGGAACTTACGTTTCACACAATTCATTAAGCCCCCAACAGGCATTACAGGATTATAAGGCAATTATTGTAATGTCCAAAAAATAGGATCTACGTCCTTCCTTCAAAATGCAAAAATATTAATCAGAAGCCACAATGAACTACAAAAAAAAAAAAAAAAGCCCAAAATATCAAACACACTGGATGTAGAACTGGGAATTGGTAATATGGCCTTGTGTTGATTTCCAGTCCTCTGCTCAATTGTTATGGTCCTCAAATGTCACGGAATTCCTTTTCACTTCACATGAATGAAGTACAACCATTAAAAGGAGCTAATGCCTTTCCTCATCTCAATAGGAGGCCAGGATCCCAAATAACTCCTCTGTCTACCTCTAACAGCTTTTCTATCTTTCCTGTCTTCTCCAGGCCACGCCCCCTTACACCTGTGATCCTGGAGCAACACGTCACATGACCAACTACATAAAAACTATACATGGCAAACAGGTAAAAGCATGGGCAACAAGGACAGAGAACTCCAGAGGATTTCATTACCCTTCCCCTCACACTTCCGTGGCTCTAAGCCCATTGTATCCTACTGAAGATACAAATCTTTAAAAAACAAGTAAAAAATATATAGTTCAAGTTTTAAAAAAAGGCAAAAATAATTTCCTAAAACAGCTTGTCAAATTAGTTTAAAGGATGCTTACTCAAACAGAGAAAATAGTGCATTTGATGCTTAGTGAGCATTACCTATGTGGGATTGTGTCAAAATAAACTACAGTGTGTGTTCATGGTAATAAAGGAACATGTGCCCAAGGGCTTCTGGACAACAACAATATATAATAGCTTTGGAAACAAACAATACTTGTTATTAGATGCATTCATTGTTGTTTTGGTCTCTCCGTTCACAATAAAGAAAATAAAGAACATTACCACCGTTAAATTTATTTTCCCATATTTGCATCCAGAGGAAAATAAGTTTGAATTTATTGCCACATCCTTGATGATTTTTGTAATGTGCTTGTTATGTTTTATTTGTCAAATCAAATCACATCACTCAATTACGCGCCGTTCTTTTGCTTTCTGCACCAAATGATGAGCAGCCATTTGTGTGAGCAGTTGCACAGTTGGGAATGACTCAGGGCTCAGCTAATAGCTCCCATCAATAATTCAGGCCCTAATCTGTGTCTGGAGAGCCGTCAGAAACGTGTTATATATGGACTCGTCACAGTGATGCACTGGTTTGCATCTACAGTTGCTCCCTCCATCTGAAGAAGGAGAAAGATTTTTCCCTTGCCGACGTCCCACCTCAAGTCTGTGCTGACCCTGCAGAAAACTAATGTTTACAGTAAGTGGAAGGAAGTATCAAATCATCCTGCTTGTATAGAAATAGATGTATTTACATATTGCTGCGGCAAGTAGAAGGAGAGGCAATTCAAAAAAACGCAATATGGAACCGTTTTGTGATTCATTATGTAAAAACTAAATTCTCAGTAAATTGTTGTGTCTTTTGTGGACACAATTGATTTTGGACTAAATAAGTAATATGGTTTGATACCCAGCCTACTGTTCTGTTCATCTTCACAATCATAATATACATGTTTGATGTTGGTCCAATTTATAATTAGCATTAATTTTACTAAATCCTGATGTAATTATAATATTTGTCTGTGCTAATGCAAGAAATATGAAATGTAAAGTTAAAGGTTGAGTGTGTGGGATTTAGTGGCAGCTAACGTGATTACAGATGGCAATTGCAAAGGAGAAACTAGATTACATATGCCCCTATATAGAGCCAGGGTATGGTTGGTTTGTCCCTTCTGGGCTACTGTAAAAGCATGTTGGAATCCTAAATGTTACACACCGGACCTTTAAAGATAAAAAACTCACACAAAAAGCTTCTAAATTATAACAGCTTTCTTTTACCCCTCTTTCCTCCTCTTAGTGTGTCAGCTTGAAAACAAAAATACGGAATGTACATTTTGTGTAAAATTTAAAGGAAAGCTTCTTTGACAGTTTGTCATCCATCACAAGCACATCAGATAATCTTTTAGACCACACTGCGTCTTACTCAACACTTCCCTCTGGAAACCCTTCCCCTTAGATTTCACTTTGACTAATGGAGCCCAACGCAAATTGGCAGATGATTCACAAGGCTGTTGAGAAAGCAATAACAACCCCCCACATCCCCTCACACACACACACACACACACACACACACACACAGGCAAGACATTTCCTCTTTGGCTGGGTACCAGAGGACAGCTGTACACTCCGCCTGTGAGCTTTTTCTCCTGTAACTCATTTCAATAATGACGTTAAAGGTGTCCTGATGACCGAGAGCACTAATGCGTGTTTATGTCATGAAAAACTCTCAATACAAATCCAGTGAGCACTGTCACACTCGTCTCCCCTTCCTCCTCCCCAAAACCAAAAAACTGGAATACCAATTCTCATTAAAGAAAGCAAGAACTCACAAACCAAACTGACAACCACTAAAAATCCCTTTTTTTGCATCATCTACCTGCCAAACGAGCCTTGAACAAACCACCTAGCGGTGTGTAATCAAAATGGAAATGTCATTATTCCTTGTATTGCTCTTTATACAAGCTCACGGCTTTAACACGGTGCTTGACTTGTTCTTGAGTGGAACATTTTTGCCTGCAGAGTGGCTGATGGGAAGGGAACTGGAGGTTTGTTCTGCCACTGTCAGAAAATGAAACATAGTCCTTTAGAGTCAACTAAGGTGCAGGATTTTGCTTTTCCCTCAGCTAACATAGCTCCATTGAAGGATTTCTAGATGCCAAGATAATATTGGGAAAATGTGCAGTGTAGAGCTGCGACAAAAATATCAATGAATCTGTCAATTGTGTTATCAATTAATGTACAAATTCTGCAGTCGATAAAATGTCAGAAAGTTTCCAGAGGCCAAGGTGGCGTCTCTTTAGATTGCTTGATTTTTCTGGACAAACTATTTAAAACCCAAATATATTAAATTACAATTAAAACAGAAAACCAAGATCGTAAATTAGTTTCTAAGGATTAATTAAGTAATCAATTACTGTAACTTAGTAATCACTTCAGCTGTAGTGTAATGACAAATTGTAGATATTTGTCTGCATTCACATTATTATTAACCTCCGGGATTATTGTGGTATGTAATTGTCTGATATATAATGGCTGGTAACTATTTTACCAATAAGTCTTTATAGCTTGATGACAAAATAGGTTGTTTGTCATCCAAAAAAGAAACTAAAACTAAAACTACCTTGTAACTGATCACAGTCGTGGTCAAAAAAACAACTTTGACATCCTAGGATATAAACCACAGTTTCCAGGATCAGCACCCAACCGTAAACCAACCATAACAACATCAACAAAGCTTTCTGATAGCGGAGCGTCTTACCTGTAGCCCCTCGATGGCAAGCCGTAGCATGCTGGGAGTCAGTTTGGACGCCTGCTTGAAGGTGAAGTTACTCCAGTCGATGATGAGGATGAAGCCGTTGACCTGCAGCTCCGGGTCTTCTATCATAGATTCCAGCGACAGCAGGATCGCCCTCAGTATGTCCACAAATGTGTATCTGAGAACAGTGTGACAGGATTTTTATTTGCCAGCGAACTGGAGAGAATATTAAACTGAAAACAGAAAACATGACAAAATTTAAATTTATTATGCAACAATGTCCACCAGAGTGCTGAGATGCTTATTACACTGTAAAATGTCCGACACAGCATGCATCAGCTGTCTTAAATATTGATAAACCCAGTATCAGTTGGGCTACAAAAATAGTCAGCAGCTATTTGATATTTGATTCATTGTTTCACTTAACAAAGAAAAATGTTCAAACACTCTCTACAGCTTCTAAAATGAGAGGATTTGCTGCTTTTTCTACATATATTTCCAGTAGGTCGGACAAAACAATTGTTATGAAGACATCAATTTAGGCTAAGAGAAACTGTAATGCAAATTGTTTCACTGATGGACTGAATGAATATTGAATATCTAAAGTTTAATCAGTTGTAAAAAAAATAATCATGAGTTACAGCTGTAGACAAGGATCTTAAATTGTTCTCACAATAAATCTAATCTAAAGAGCTGAAACAGTGTCTCTTAATGGGGTTGACAAGCAGCTGAATTCTCTGATAATCAGTGTAATTTATTCTTCAATTAAAGTCTTTTGAGTAAGGCTGTAGTGTGTCAGCAGATAGTAAAAAAGCTCAAATGTATCAGCTGGACGGTTTTGTTGCATGTTATAATTTCTTTCAGCTGCGACCGTGCGGTTGCTGGTGCTGCTAGTCATGCTGTTTGCTGCCTCGGTGGGTTTTCATCAGCTGATGAACAGTCGTGTTTTTTTTTCTGTTTGCTATTGCCCTCATTATGTTGTTTCCTGCTCTTCATTTCCATCTGATTCTTAACTGAGGAACCTTTTACCTCCCTCTAGAGATAATAATTCTTCTTAGTTTGCTTAATTGGCAGCAAAATGGACCCTTAACAAATGCAAGTCTGCTGCAGCTATACAACATACAATAGAACAGCTCTGCCAGTATTTCTGAAATTTGTCGAATAGAAGAAAAATGATGACTAGAATAACAAGGACAACATCATTTTCACAGATTGATTCGTGTTCAGAGAGGAGAAATTAATCACTAAATGCACATGATCTTATGACTGACTGGAATTATAACTTACAGACTGTCTGCGCCTCCGGGGTTCACTGTTACTTATTACATAATGATTTTGCTGAGCCGAGTGGCGTCTACCGTAGTATGTCTACATTTTCTAGAACAATCATGATACAGCTGGATGGCTCCATTGTGGTCCTATATTTAATCAGACCCAGTAACACTTTATGTGGATATTCTCATGTTTCTGAACTGAATTATGAGGAGAGAAAAGGTCAACATCTCTGTAAAGTCTTGTTACCTGAACACTAACCAGGCCTGGTCCCTCATTAAAGCCAAACAAAGCCATGTCCTGGCCCTTTTTATAACTTCAACCTTAGCCTGGATACTAACCCTGACCCAGTCACTGCAGACTATAAATTCATTTATGAGAGAAAAATACCAGTAACAGTGACCCAGTACTTCATCTTGTATCTCCAGTCAAACAATACAGGAGAAATATGTCTGCAGATTTAGCCCCAATACAACTGGTTTAATCTCATGATACACATGATATTAAATTACAATTTTAGCTCAGTCCTATTCAGACTTTAATTGCAAGTTCACCTGCAATTAGAAGTTAGGAACATGCTGAAGATTATTAACTTAAGTAACTTGTATTCACTCCACTTCATTTTAGAAGGAAAGGCGGAACCCTTCAGTGATTCATATTATCTGACAGCTGTAATTACCAGGTGCTTGGATGTTCACCCTCAACATGATGAGCAACAGTTTGTAATTTTAATCATTGGTTTCCAACATGGTGGTCGAGACCCGGGCACCGAGGGGTCACAAGATAAACCGCAGCGGTCTTGAGATAATTCACAGAGACAAATACATACTTTTGAGTGACTCTGGATACTTTTAACTCCTCAGACCTTTAAACATTGTTCAAATAAAACAATTTAAGCAGGGAAAGTTCCTGACATTATGCAACATGAGACAGGTGGAAAATGATTAATTTTTTATAAGGTAAAAAGGTTTAAACCACTCAAAACAGGAAATCTTAGTGCTAATACTTTTATTGAAATAAAAAGGCAGGGGGTTCATTTGTAAATACATACACTAAAGGACCAAACGTGTGTGGACAACCTGCCATATGTCAGCAAATCTCTGTTCTGGGGCAGTTTTTTCATCATTTGGACGATACTTCTTAGTTTGTGACAGATTTAGGGAAGATCCTTTCTTGTTTTAACAAGATAAGACAACCACGCACAAAGCCAGGTCCATGAAAACAATGGTTTTAACATTGTTAATCTGTTCCATTTGACTGTTGCTCTTTCCGTCTACATTGTACAACATCTATCACACATCTGTTCACTGTGGAAGAGAGATTTCTTTTTGGGGGGGGGGGTTATTAATTATTTATCTGAATTGAGGATTTAAGGACAGTGGATGTAATATGTTTAGATGGTAAAGCCCTTTCAGGCAAATTTTGTTTATTTTGGGCTTTTCCCAGTTTGGTGTGAATGAACCCTGACTGGTCTGCACAGAGCCCGGACCTCGACCCCATCCAACCCCTTTGTGATGAACTGGAACTGTGAGCCAGACCTTATCCAAACATCAGTGTTAGACCTCTAATGCTCTCTTCTAATGCTTTGTCTAAATGGGAGCAAATCCCTGCAGGCAGGTTCCAAAATGCTGGTAGAAAGCCTGAAATTAGAAGATTGGACACCGTTATAGCAGCTTAATGCTCATTGCTGTTATTTTAGGGTTTACACATACTTTTGGCCTTGCAGTGTATTTTCTCCACAACTAATTAAAGAAGAAATATGAGTTAGTTTGTAGTTTCTGTGGTGCTGAATGGACAGCTCCACGAACCAGACTCACACTCAGTTCAAATGGATTTTAAAGCACTGACTCTCCTCTCTTCTCCATGTGTCCTGTCTCTTTTTATGTCTGATCAGATAACCTAAACACAGACTTTACAGCCCCATCAGCACCAGCCCCAACCCCAACCCCTCTGCCTCTTTATTACCTGCTCTGGTCCCAGTTGGCTGCGAACAGGACCAGTATTTTCCTGCCATATCTGTCCAGATTGGAGAGCACGCCGGGGAAACCGTCCTTCAGGGCCTGCTTGATTCCCGGGTCAGTGGCTTTCAGATTCTTGAACATGTCCAGGTTCTGCTGGCGGTACTCAAAGTACTGTGCCAGCAGTCGGAACGCCTCGAAGTGGTTGAATTTCCTCGCTCGGAGGAATCTGAGGATAAACGCGTCGTCTGTCCTGAGGAAACCAATGTCCGGCCGGGTGATGATCATGTCCCGGACCTCCTGGATGTCCTGGTGTAAAGTCTCCGGGTTTTCTTTCAGCTCCACCTTGGCCTTCTCCAGGGTCTCTGGAGAGAGGCCAGCCTGTAAGTGAGTCATCTTTTGCAACAGCTGTCCCTCCACGGGGGACCACACCACACCAGCTTCCAGTGAAACAACAGAAGAAATTGTTACCTCCAGCAACAGGGTGAAGTGTATTAAATGGTCTTTCTTTGTGGGTTTCCTGATCAGAAGCTGACTTCAGATGGAGGCCTGCTGCTCTGTAGACGTAATCCACCCTGAACTGGCACAGACGCTGCTGCTATGATGCTCCTATGATGCATTATCAACATATGGGGCATTCACTTTTACGCACAGAAACATTTCCACCCTCAAGAATTTAACTTAGTTGTGATTTTTCCACCATGTATATCATGACTCAGGTCCTGCAGGCTTTCAGGCGGCACATCCAACCTGCTGATCCGGGCGGCCTGATGAGCTCAGAGCCGACACACAGCCGCTTCCCTCCATGTCAAAGCCTCTCCTCGCTTTCTCTCTCTTTCTGTGGCACAATGACGACGACAGCATCACCGTCTCCCCGGCGTCGCTCGCGGCGGCCAGGCAATGCGGCACGACCCTGCAGCACCTGCTATATCATCATCATCATCATCATCATCATCCCTCCGCCTTCACAACGCATCTCCATCCGCCGACCGACTGATGCTGCTGCTGGTGCTGCTGCTGGTGGTGGTGGCGCCGACCGCTCCGTCACCGTCAATCGAGGCAAATTTGGCCGCTTGTTCCGCGTCTACATCCCCGCCTCAGTCACCACCGCGGTTCATCAGCATCGTCCACAATTTGGGTGCGAATTCAGATCTTAAATTATGTTTCACACAGTTCAAAAAGAGGGGTGGGGGGAGGGGGGGGTATCCAAGCAGCACAGGTGTCCCGCGAGGATTTTTGTTCCCCTCCTGCCACCGGTTTCTGGGTTTCGGAGAGGGGTGGGGTGGGCTGGGCTGGAGGGGGGATTACCGTCTCCGCTCCTCCTGCTGCTGTTGCTGCTGCCGCCGTCTGTTCGCTGGGAAAGTGACTGACAACAAGAGGAGCCTGCGCTCCGGTCGGTGTATGGACGCCACCGGCGAGGGGGGGAGAGGTGGTGGGGAGAGGAGGGGGGAGGAGAGGATGGGGGTGGAGTGTCAGATGAAAAGGCAACAGATATATAAAAAAAGAGGGAGGGCAAGGTGGCAGAAAGATGGAGAGAGGTGGAGTAGAGCTGTAGAGGCCGAGGAATGAAAAGTGGATAATGGATGGAAGGATGGAGAAAGGATGCTGAAGGGAGGAGAGGGGAGGGCAGACAAGTCAAATGAACAGGGCTTGAGGGAGGAAGGCTATGAGATGAAGGTAAAAATCCTGAAGAGGTGAAGGGATGAAGATGGGGGAGGACTGGAGGCCTGAGGCAAAAGTAGGGGCCTCAGTGTCACCATTATCCCCCCCCCTTATTTTTCCCTATGACCATATGTTTGCAGGTTTTTAGCTCCTGAATCATTTCATTTTTGTGGACCGTTTTCATTTGCACACTAGAGATTTTTTGGTGTATTTGTTCCAGTTCTGGCATTTCATGTAAATAAAAAAATATGGGCGGAATAAAAGCATCATAATGAAGGCATCTTTCACTCAAGACTATTAAAGCTTAAAAACTTGCCAGAATATGATTTAATTTAGTTACACAAACAACTGAATAACGTATCATATTTCAGTTTGATTTTATAGTTTTGGTCTTGAAACAGGAACATTTAAAGATATTTGTCTAATAAATAAAATCAATTTAAAGGCTTTGAACTGCCTCACATTTCAGGGGAGCACACTATCTCAGACATTTATTGCCCTGAGGGCCTCTGAACACTTCAAGACATCCAAAAGCATTTCAGTCCACCTGGCACATCTTTCTTTTTTTTATCTCCGACTCTCCACTTATGGCGTGCCTTGGAACATACCTCTCCCCACACGTCCATTTCACGCAGCTGACCAGCCCCAGTGGACTGGTCTCAACAATATATTCCATCCTATAAAACCTATTTATTGACATACTGTGGAACCTCTCCTCAAATAGCTCTGACCCAAACAGCAAAATAATCTGGCAAAATATGCAACAGTCTTCTAGGAACCCCAACCATGAAGTTATTCGTACATACTTCACTCCCTGCACACTGCACAAAATGAAAGCTCTACCATCATCAAACTGCACCCAATGCACTCAAAATGCGTAGGGGCACATTTTTTAATATTGTGTCGGAGTGCCCAAAGGTTGCAGAGTTCTGGAAGAGGGTTTCAGAGATGCTATCAATCATATTGTCCAAAAAAAAAAAAAAAGAAAGAAATCCTTACTTGCCAAAAGTCCTGTTACTTAATGAGAACTCTGTGTTAAGCAGAGACGTCTCCGGCTGGTCTTACAGCTGCCAAGCGACTAATAGCTTGCAGATGGAAAGCTTCTCATTCTGTCAATATGCAAAGATGGCTTATTGACTTCATAGACGTAGCGAGCATGGAAGACTGGGCTGCCAACATGCACCAGGCAAAATACAGAAAACATTTCACACAGGAAACCAGAGATTACAACAATAACATTCTTATTATAGCTGCTGTTTCCATGTCCATGAGGTCCAAGGTAGATGGTGTGAGAGGGAGCCTGGGGGAGGGATCTAGGAGGGCATACAAATTATCTTATTCCTACCATTTTTTTATTGTTTTTGTTTCTGTTTTTGTCTATTTCTCATATATAGTCAACATGAGAAACAAATGATGTTGGGTTAAATATAAAACCATTTTATTTTTTTAAGGGAGAAATTAGTTATTAATTCTAACATTACAATATATAGTAGCAACATGTGTGCTAACAGCAGGCTGTGCTTCGGCTGTTGAGTGAAAGATACTCTGAGTTTTACTGCCAGCTTTTCTGACCTTTTTCTCCTTTTCTCTGCCTTCTCACATAATAAATGTGTTGATTTTTTGTCTTATTAACCTTTTTTTAAAAATACATTCTTTTCAAAAATATGCTTTTGGGGGTCCATGTCATTTGGGGGCCCCAGGCGGGTGTTGCTTTTGCCTGATAGTAAGGTCGGCCTCTGGATGCAAATGGAGGGAAAAGTGACAAAAGAACTGGAGGAGGGATTAAGTGAAAGAGGAGGATTGAGTGTTGGTTGTAGCCTCAGATGGAAAGATGGAGGGACTGGCAATCATGGAAGGACGTTTTCTGTCCACCATCACTCTGAATCAGCTCAGTTAGACTATAATTCATACAGTGAAACAGGACATAGCTACGATGAGGATTTATTACGGAGCTGCTGACAGCAGTCAGTATAGAAACCAAGATGAAATGGAGGGGCGTATGGATGAATGGATGGAAAAGGAGGGGTGGAGGAGGAGCGGCACCTGCTCACTGGTGACCAGACAGCTGCACTTAAACATGCTGAATTAATTTCTATTGTATCTGCCTACTTATCTCTCTTGTGGTTTACTGTGTGATTGTACACGGCTGAGTGGTGAGCTTTACATGATGCTCAGTTACCTTTATTGCTCTTTACTAAATCAATATAGTCAGACTTGTAACAAACAAATAACAACTACCCTGTAGACAGAGGACTTTCCTTCTTTCCTACCTTGTAAGATAAGATAAGAAAATACTTTATTGATCCTTGGAGGGGAAATTCAGTTAAGCACAGATAAATAGAGACAGGTGAAAATAATTAGAAGTTTATGTAATAAAAATAGAAACCACACAAGAGCCATTGAACTCACTGAATTACAAGGCAAGCAGTACACACACACACACACACACACACACACACACACACACACACACACACAGATATATACTATAAGATAAGGATAAATATAGAAATATAGTATACACATACAACATAATATATAGTATAGTACAACAATATAGTATATAATACATTAGAGTGTGAGTATAGTATAATATTAAATATTAAATACATATATATGTATATTCAGTTTTTACCTTTACTGCTGTATTTTGTGAATGCTGATGACCACAAAAGACAGTTGTGTTATTGTGTTATTTCTTATAATGATATATTAATTAATACAAAAGTAGGCAGAGGAGGAAGAACAAGAGGTCGCTTGGATTTGTCTTTTATTTAATAACTGTTTTACAATGAAATAAGTAGTTGACTTCCTGTGCTATAAATTCTTTGCCATGTTAAACCATCATCATAAAGTAAAAAAGGACAAACATTGGGCATTGTATAGGAAGTGAAAACTTAATAAACGCAATAAAAGTTGAGATATATCAGTTTGTTAGTTTTGGAGCCGCAGCTGCAAAAGCAACACTTTGGTCAGATGATCACGCACCTTAATGTATCAATAAATTCATAGAAGACTAAAGAACCCCGGATGTCCCCGTGTTGCCCAGAGAGTGCAGCTTTAAATGACGAATACATTTTTCAGTGAGCACATTTCCTACTGAATTAAACACAAAAGAAATTACCTCCCACTCACAACAATACAGATCCAAGCACTTTTAGATGCTCCGGTGCTGCAGGAGACTCTGGGACACTATTTTGCTTACATTATCTTTTTCTCATACATTTTTCATACTAACTCAAAGATAACCCTCTCTAAATACATCTAAGCGGGTTATGATGCTTTGGTGCTGCAGGTCATTTCTCAACTGCATGCCACTATATCTGTTAACAAATAATAGCACTTGATGTATATTGTCACACTGCCCATAAACCCACGCATAAAGCATGGTCTGAGCAGGGTTTGGATAATATCCTGCCAGTGGGGGTGGGGACAGGGGCAAATCCTGAATGGAAGGGGATAGAGAAAGTAACAGGGTCCCAAGGGAAGCCAGCGGGGGGGGTCGCAATAATTGCCCTTAGCTCTGATGGGCCGGTGTTGGAGCGAATTAAATGAATTGTGGACATGCATTGGAAATTACCTCTGGTTTTCAATGGCACAGCTGTCATTTTCTGGAGTGCTTCTTTGATTTGTCTTCTAGTCTCTGGGGGCTGAATGGCTGATTAAAACATGACTTTCTGTCCTCAAAAAGTTACCATGAGGATGTCCAGTGGATTCTGTGACTGCAGCTGAACATTTCTGGTTTCTCCCCCCAATAGTGTCACACTTTTTTTGATTTGGTCATTCATTCATTGTCTGCTACTTATTCCTATACAGGGAAAAAGCTTGTCCCACCATGCCAGCACATTCTCACAACAAAGTGTGTAACCGACCCGCCAATCCACCAGGATACTGTGTCAGTGTCACGTTTCACCTCGCCTATGTGCGAAAAGTACACAGTTGCATGAAGGTGCAGTATAAAGACCGACCAAGTCCATGGATGGCAGAAGTTAGGGTGGATGGATGGGTTAAAAATGCAAGACTTTTACAGGCGACTGTTATTCGAGTCCTGTTTGAAACCAAAAGTCCATGTTGACTTATATTAGGGCATTATCATTATTACTAATTTGACCACAGAATGAGAATGTGTTAAAAACTTGATCATTTACCAGTGATAATAATAGAATATATGCACCTTCTGACCTGCAGGTAGGTGAAGTATTTTAATGGTAGTGATAACAACCGTGGTGTTGTTGAACTGTATTGCATTATACAGAGAGGT